TACTGACCACAACTGTACACACTAACCATAACCCTAACTACTGACCATAACCTTACACACTACCCATAACACTAATTACTGAACACAACCACTAACCAGGATCCCATCCATGAACCTATCCACTAAAACTATCCATTAACCTTAACCGCAACCATTAACCAGGACTCCACTCATGAACCTAACCACTAACACTATCCACTAACCTTAACCCTAACCATTAACCAGGACTCCATCCATGAACCTAACCACTAACACTATCCACTAACCTTAACCCTAACCACTGACCGTGATTCCATCCATGAACCTAACCACTAACACTATCCACTAACCTTAACCCTAACCACTGACCGTGATTCCATCCATGAACCTAACCACTAACACTATCCATTAACCTTAACCCTAACCACTGACCGTGATTCCATCTCCAACACTAACCACTAACACAATCCACCAACCTTAGCCCTAACCATAACCCTTACCCTAACCCAAAATCAAACTACTGGCCTTCAACATAACCAGTCACCATGATCCCAACCATAAACCTAATCACTAACGATAACCACAAACTTAACACTAACTCAAACCACTAACCATAACTACTAACCATGTCTCCAACCATAACACTACCCAATAATCCTAACCACTAACCCTAACCTAACTATTAATCATGATCCTAACCCTAACCATTATCCCTAACCATAACCACTGACCAAAATGCTAACCATTAATTTTAATAACTAAACAGAGTCGTAGTTACTAATCACTAACCATAACCATTATCATTAACCCTAAAAATTACCTCAAACTACCAGCCACTAAACATTACCCTAACCTCTAACCATAAACTAGTTAAGCAATAGCCTGAATGGTCATACTCACAGAATCATACCTTACAGACGATGTCCCAGACAGCACCATCACCATCCCTGGGTATGTCCTGTCCCACCGGCAGGATAGACCCAGCAGAGGGGGTGGCACAGTGGGATACAGTCGCTGGGTCAAAATCCTGGAATTTCCTCCCTCATGGCACTGTGGGTCAACCCACAGCAGGTGAACTGAAGTGGTTCAAGAAGGCAGCTCACCATCACCTTCTCAAGGGCACCTAGGGATGGGCAAGAAATGCTGGGCCCAGCCACTGATGCCCACGTCCCACAAAATGAATAGAGAAAGAAAAATCATAGAGCAATCAACTAACCCTATCCAGTGACCATAACCAGTAACAAAAACATTAACCACTAAACATGACCCTAACCAGTAATCCTAAACATTAACCCTATAATCCTATTCTTTAATCCTATCGCCAACACAAAATCCTTCCAACCAAAGGTAGCTAGTAAGGCTTTTGGGGTAAGGTGATGGCCTAATGATATTATTGCTAGAGTACAAAGAGACTCAGGTAATGCTCTGGGGGCCTGGGTTTAAATCCCAGCATGGCATGGTGAAATTTGCTTTAAAACTTGAAATTAAGAATCTAGGGAGGGAATTCCAAGATTTTGATCCAGCAACAGTGAAGGAACGGCAATATATTTCCAAGTCAGGATGGTGAGTGACTTGGAGGGGAACTTGCAGAGGGTGGTGTTCCCATGTATCTGTTGTCCTTGTCCTCACAGATGGAAGTGGTCATGCGTTTGGAAGGTGCTGTCTGAGATTGTCAGGAAGAAAACCTATCTGTCTTCCTTACCAGAGATAGGAAGAACTGCCGGTGCTGGAGTCTGAGATAACACAGTGTGGAGCTGGAGGAACACAGCAGGCCAGGCAGCATCAGAGGAGCAGGAAAGCTGATGTCTCGGGCCGGTACCCTTCTTCAGAAATGGTAGGGTGGGTAGATTTCTGCTTTCTGCTCCTCTGATGCTGCCTGACCTGCTGTGCTCCTTCAGCTCGATACTGTGTTATGTCTTCGTTACCAGGTCTGGCCTACTTGTGGTTGACCTTGAAATGGCTGAGCAAGCCAATCTGTTTAAGGGGCACTTAGGCATGGACAACAAGTACTGGCCTTGCCACCGATACCACACGAATAATGAAGAGTGTGTAGTGAAATTAATCTTCAAGGGAGGAGAATTGGCATTCTGCGCTGTTGTTGATGCTGCTTCTTTCTCTCACTCTTTCCTTGTCTCCAGGTCTCTCTGTGGTCATGAGTAAGATTCTCCAGTTGATTCCAATGTCTGTTTTGTTTGGAATCTTCCTGTACATGGGTGTGACATCATTAACAGGAATCCAGATGTCTGAACGCCTGCTACTGCTGTTTATCCCTTCGAAACACCACCCAGATCATGTCTACGTGACAAAAGTGAGTGTGACTCTTCATTTCGTGATGTTTCAGATTTACTCCTTCGCCCCTGGGAGGACCACCTCCAGCACTGGGCTATTGCCTCTCTCCTATTTTTGTCAAGAAGGAGTTAGATAAGAATCTTAGGACCAAAAGGTATGGGGAGAAAACGGGAGTTGCATTCTCCACGGCAACACCTCCACCAAACAGACTGTACTTGACGACCAATCAGTACAAGCAATGCACACAGTAGAACTAATGGACTGGAGTGTGTCTATTTCCATGCAAAGAGTATTATAGGTAAGGCAGATGAGCTTAGAGCCTGGATGAGTACATTGGACTATGATGTTGTGGCCATTACAGAGACTTGGTTGACAGAGGGACAAGACTGGCTGGTCAACATTCCAGGGTTTTGTTGTTTTAGACGAGAGAGACAGGAAGGTAAAAGTGGTGGAGGAGTTACATTACCAATCTGGGAGAATGTTACATCTGCACTCAGAGAGGACACGCTGGATGGTCATTGACTGACGCAATATGGGTACAGCTCAAAAATAAAATGGGTACAGTCACTCTGATAGGATTATACTATAGGCCCCCCAACAGCCACCGAGACATTGAGGAACAAATATGTCGGCAGATTATGGAACGATGCAATAACAACAGGATTGTAATAGTGGGAGACTTCAACTTCCCAAATATTGACCAGGACTCCCTTAGAGCAAGAGACTTAGACGGGGAAGAATTTGTTCAGGTGCATCCGAGAGGGTTTCTTGAAACAGTATGTGGATAGTCCAACTAGAGGAAGGGCCATACTGGACCTTGTATTGGCTAATTAGCCTGGCCAGGTGACTGAGCTTTCAGTGGGAGAGCATTTTGCAAACAGTGATCATAACTCCTTGAGTTTTAAGATAGCTACGAATAAGGATAGGTCAGGAGCTGGTGGGAAGGTACTAATTGTGGGAGGCAAATTACGTCAGTGTTAGGCAGGAGCTTGGGGGTGTTAACTGGGAGGAGCTGTTATCGGACATGTCCATATTTGACATGTGGGAGCTGTTTAAAGACCTGCTGGGGAGAGTTCAGGACTGGTATGTTCCAGTGAGGAGGAAGGCTAAGGATGGCAAGATAAGGGACCCTTGGATAATGTGGGAGGTTGTGAATTTAGTCAAAAGGGAAGAAGAAGCATATGTAAGCTTTAGGAAGCTAAAATTGGACAGGGTCCGTGAGGAATATAGGGAAAGCAGGAAAATACTCAAGCAGGGAATTAGAAGAGCAAGAGGGGCCATGAAATCATCTTGGTTAAAGAGAATCCCAAGGCATTAAATAGATACATTAAAAACAAATGGATAACTAGGGAGAAGGTAGGACTACTGAAGGATGAAGGAGGGAACTTGTGCTTAGAGGCAGGGAATGTGGATGAGATCATAAAAGAGGACTTTGCATCAGTTTTCACCTCGAGAAGGACATGGAGGATAATGGGAATAGTGTGGAGCATGCTAACATGCTCAGGCCTTTTGAGATCAAGAGAGAAGGGGTGTTGGATCTCTTGAAGAGCATTAAGGTGAATAAGTCCCCAGGGCCCGATGGTATCTACCCCAGGTTATTGAGAGAGGCAGGAGAGAAGAAACTGGGGCCTTGACCAAGATCTTCATACCTCGTTAGCCACTGGAGGGGCCCTGAAGGACTGGCAAGTAGCTAATGTTGTTCCTCTATTCAAGAGGGAAATAGAGATAATCCAGGAAACTATAGACCAGTGAGTCTCCCATCGGTGGTTGGGAAACATTTGGGGAGAATTCTTAAGGATAGGATTTACGCGTATTTGGAAAAGCATTGCTTAGGGATAGTCAGCTTGGCTTTGTGTGGGACGGGTCATGTCTTACTGACTTGATTGAATTTTTTGAGGGGATGACAAAGGTGATCGATGAGGGTAGAGCAGTGGATGTTGTTTACATGGATTTGAATAAGGCTTTCGACAAGGCCCCACATGGTAGGCTCATCCAGAAGATTGAGATGCATGGGATCCACAGTGACTTGGCCGTGTGGATTCAGAATTGGCGCCTGTAGAAGGCAGAGAGTAGTGGTGGAAGGGTGTTTTTCTGGCTGGAGGTCCGTGACTAGTGGTGTCCTGCAGGGATCCGTACTGGAACCTCTCCTGTTTGTGATATATATATAAATGACTTGGATAACAATGTAGATGGGTGGGTTAGTAAGTTTGCAGAAGACAAAGACATGGGTGGAGATGTGGATAATGTAGAAGATTGTCATAGGATAAAGTGGGATATAGATCAGTTGCAGATATGGGCGGAGAAATGGCAGATGGAGTTTAATCCAGGTAAGTGTGAGGTGCTGCGCTTTGGGAGATCAAATGTTAAGGAAAAGTATACAGTTAATTGCAGCATTGATGTTTGGGGTTCAAGTCCATAGCTCCCTGAAAGTGGCCATGCAAGTAGATAGGGTGGTAAAGAAGGCATATGGCATGCTTCCCTTTATTAGTCGGGAAATTGAGTACAAGAACAAAACAAAAACAATACAGCACAAGATCAGGCCCTTCGACCCTCTAAGTCTGCACCGACACATTTTGCCCTTCCGTAATAAAACAGTCTTCACTTACAGGATCCATATCCCTCTATTCCCTTCCTATTCATGTATTCATCCAGGTGCTTCTTGAATGTTGGTATTGTGTCTGCTTCCTCCACCTCCTTTGGCAGCAGGTTCCAGGCACTCACCACCCATTGTGTGAAAAACCTGCCTCTCACATCTCTTTTAAACATCCCCCTGGCACCTTGAACCTGTGTCCCCTAGTAATTGACCCCTCCACCCTGGGAAAAAGCCTCATACTTTCCACTCTATCCATGCCATTCACAACCTTATAAACTCCTATCAGGTCGCCCCCAGCCTCCTGTGTTCCAGCGAAAACCCAATCTATCCAACCCTTCCTCACAGCTAAAGCACACCATACAAGGTAACACCCTGGTAAACCTTTCCTGAGCGCTATCCAAAACATCCACATCCTTCTGGTAGTGTGATGACCAGAACTGTACACAATATTCCAAGTGTAGCCTAACTAAAGTTCAATAAAGATGCGGCATAACTTGTCTATCTTTATACTCAATGTCCCTTCCAATGAAGCCAACCATGCCATAAGCCTTTTTTCACTACTTTATCTACCTGTGCTGCCATCTTCAGCTATCTGTGGACATGCACACCCAGATCCCTCTGCATATCAATACTCCTAAAGATTCTGCCATCCACTGTATAATTTTTACCTGTAAGAGTCAGGACGTCATGTTGCAGCTTTATAAGACTTTGGTTAGGCCACACTTACATTACTGTGTTCAGTTCTGGTCGCCACATTACAGGAAGGATGTGAAGGCTTTGGAGAGGGTGCAGAAGAGGTTTACCAGGATGCTGCCTGGATTAGAGGGTATGAGCTATAAGGAGAGGCTAGAAAAACTCAGGTTGTTTCCTCTGGAGCAGCGGAGGCTGAGGGGAGATCCTCATGCCGTGTGAGTGTTGGTTTTCCCCTTGAATTGGTATTCCTGCAAAGTGTCCTGATCAATGCAAGACTAAAAGCTTCCACAAAATTGAGCCCATTTTCAGCAACACTCAAACTGAATTTAATTTATTCCCCTTTCCAAGCTGGGATTTGAAACATAGAAAATAGATGCAGGAGTGGGCCATTTGGCCCTTCGAGCCTGCACTACAATAAATTATGATCATGGCTGATCATGCAATCTCACTAACCCATTCCCGCTTTCTCCCCATGCCCCTTGATCCTTTAAGCTGCAAGAGCTATGTCCAGCTCCCTTTTGAACACGTTTAATGAACTGGCCCCAACAGCTTCCTGTGGGAGAGAATTCCACAGGTTCCCAACTCTCTGAGTGAAGAAATGCTTCCTCATCTCAGTCCTGAATGGCTTACCCCTTATTCTTAGACTGTGACCCCTGGTTCTGGTCTTCCCCAACATGGGGAACATTCATTCCTTGTCTAGTGATGTTACCCTGATGCCACCAACTCCCAAATGGTTTTAGTCGCAAACAATCAAATTGGTTTCATCGAACGTCCTTGTGCTCGCCTGCAGGTGAAAACGTGGAGGATGAACCTGTTCACAATGATCCAGCTGATCTGCGTCGCAGTTCTTTGGGTAATCAAGTCCACCATCATCTCCTTGGCATTCCCGTTTTTCCTGATCCTGACCGTGCCGACGCGGCGATACCTGCTGCCAAAGGTTTTCAAGGAGCGGGAACTGATGGTGGTGAGTGAGATTTGGGAGCGGGGGTGTTGACTGTGAGCTGGGTGTGCCCCCTTGCTGGGACTGGATCTGATCACCGGTTTGTGGAATGGACCTGAACCAATCAATGTGGTCACTGGGACCCGGGATCCTTCACCTGGGTCAGAACAGCGGATCACGGGCTGCCCTCAAAGGAAGAGAAATTCAAACCAATCTGTGGCAATATACAGAAGAGTAACAAAATAGCAGCAGGTGTGGGCCATTCAGCCCTTCAAGCCCTGATTGTAAAGCATTTAAAACGCTGATCTGTTTGTGGACACCACTCCATGTTGCCCATCAGCTGCCTGTTTCTGGGGAACTGGAAACAGGAGGGCGGGCTGTGGGCACAGGAATGTTTGTATCTCGTTTACACGGCCAGGGCTGAAAGGAAAGTTGGACTCTCTTAAGCTATCTATTTCTTTTCTTATCTTATTCTAAGTTAAGGTGAATGGTGTCATTTATGTACAGCGAAGGTACACACTTTTCACAGTATTTATATATTGAATACACGTGACAACAAATGATTCAATTCGATTCAAATTCTCTCTCTTTCTGTTTCCTTCCTCACCCCCATTCTGAAATCCCTCAGCTGGATTCTGAAGAGACACATCCCAACCTCGATGAGGATGGACATGATGAATACAGTGAGCTGCACATGCCACTGTGACACAGAGCATAAGAAGGGACCTCCCCCTCTCCCCTTCCCCCACATCTCCCCCCTCTGCCCACTTCCCTTTCCTCCCCCCTCTCCCTGTTGCCACCTTTCTCCTCCTCCTCCACCTCTACACCTCTCCTCCTCTCCTCTTAGCCCCCTCCACCTCTCCCCCACACTGCTGCCCCCTCTCCCCCTCCTCCTACACCCCCCCCGTAATGCTGTAGACCCTCTTCTGACTCTGACTACTCTGCC